AGCAAGTTTTATCATTATTTTTTCTTGTCGGGCCATTTTCTAGATCCCCCATAGATTATACAAATAGTAACGTATTTTTAAATTGTTGAAAAATAATATTAATGTGAATTCCATTGATAATATATAAGAGATTACAATATACAATTTATGGAATAAAAGACAATTAAATTAGACCACCCGATTGAGAACTAAAAACTAAAGGCTAAGAATACACGAAAAAAAAAAAAACACACACACACACATACTGTGTATTGGTATGGCGGAGTGAGGAATTTGAATTTGACTCAGGTTAACACATAATTAAATAATTTTTTTAGTAAAAAAGAAAATATGGTAAAAGTTTGAAATAAAAAAATTATAATTTGATTGAATTTTCTTTGAAGAGAATTAAAAAAAATGAAGAAAAAGACTAAGAAGGGAAAGAAAAAAAAGGGATTTTTTTTGAAAGAAAACATAATTTAGGGGGTCATTTTGTATAATTTAATAAATTATATGCGTAAAATATATAATAATTTAATAGGATAGCGTACCACAGTCTACAGAGGGCAGCTTTGAAAAAGAAAAATTCAGGGGACATTTTGTATAAATTATTGAAATAGAGATATAAAAAACATTAAAATAGTATTAGGCCAGCATGAGCAAGTGCCCATAGGCCCATGCTGGCTTCGTTCTCCTTGCCATTCATTAATATCAAAGTCAACCATATAATTAGACTATATATATATATATACAGGGTTTGCCACAACAAAAGCATTAATTAATTAATAAATAAATAAATTTCGAAAAATCAGCATTGAGAGTGCGATAGAGGAACACAGTACACATGTTGCTAACTTGCTGTTGAACTTAAATGGTATTAGTAAAAGAAACAAAACAAAAATAGAAACCAAATAAAGGAAAAGTATAAACATTATACAAACCGGCGACGTGTCTCATGTGTTAGCAAGAGCTGAAGGAGAGAAAAAAACAAATACCCAAAAGAAAAGGGTTGTTGGCTTTTAGGACATTGGAAAAGCAAGTTGTATACAAACAATATATGATTCTTTGAAAATGAAACACAACAGCACCTCACTAGTTGATGACCCAAATACTATTATATTAGTTGTAGTAAAATTGTTGGAGTGCCCCAAGGGTCTGAGTTCGACCTTTATAAATTGTCTTTCCAGAAAACTTAAACACCCACAAAATAAAATTTTAATCCATCTTAGTCTGAATAAATAAAAAAAGGGTTGGCCATTGAATGGTGGACAAATGCACATTTAAAAAAATAACTACTTATATACAACAAAATTTACTAAAGGCCAAACAATAATTTAAATAATATTGTCTGCACCCTTTGGAAGTTTGCATATCCACTAACACTAGTTTATCTTTACGTATTAGGGAATAAAAAAGTGAAATAATATTTTTAATTGAGTAAATAATACACTTTGTAATCCCGTTAAATATATATTCATTCGTGTTTCATACTAGGTTCGCAATTGCAGTATCGATAGTAGTGTATTGAATTTGAACAAATATCGGTGTGAATCAATTCGGCTAATACAACAAAGTTTCATTTGTTCCTCTCAAACACATTATTATTATTATTATTATTATTATTTTCTAGCAAATATTACTTCCTTCATATCACGTTAGATGTTCATATTTATGCTCCATTTGGTAAGAAAGAAGAAAGAGGAGTGGATAAAATATAAGAATGAAGAAAAAACTTATTTTATAAGGGAGGAAGCAATGAGAGAACATTCCTCTCCCTTCTATTTAAATTTTTTTCTTTTTCCTTTATAGATGATAATTTGGGGTTTTCATGTACCCTTATAAAATTATGAATTTATCATTTTTAATTTAAATATATATAGTCATCAAGATTGAAATTTTTTAAAAACATAAAAAACAATTTATTTACTTTGACTTTTATAGAAAAACAATTAATTTGGGACATCTCCTCTCACTTTCCCACCTTGGCAACTGCACTCCACTATTGCTAAGCCGAAATGCCATCTAGATCAAAACCCTTCAAAATGACTCGCTATTTTAATCAACCTAACACCACCTCACCATCACCCAGTCAAACAGCATAATCACTCAGATGTACATGGTCCGGTTTAGACCGAATTAAAAGTTTTTTCAGACCAAATCATTTATAACGGTTTCACTATTTTTGAAATCAGACAGAACTATAATGCCCATTAAACCAAATCAAATCAAACCACGAAAAACCGGTTTATATTTTATTTTAATTAAGAGGGGACAAAGTTAAATAATAATAATAATAATAATAATAATAATACTAATAAATTCAACTAACATTTGTATAACATGCAAAAAGATGAATTTTAAGAAGAAAAAAATGAAAGAAAATTGAGATATATTTGAAAGGAAAGGAAATAAAATTGAGATATATTTGAAAAGGGAAATTTGACTTTTTTAAAAATAAATTTAAAGAACAAAAGAAATAAAAATTTAAGATAATTGTAGAATATAAAAATATACGATAACTTTACTTGATTTAATTTTTAGGTATGATACACACACATATATATATATTATATAACATAGTAACGGTTCGGTCCAAGCTGGTCTGGTCCAGCAGGACCCTAAACCAGGATCGGATCGAAAAATTACGGTTCCATAATTTTGGACTTAGGACCGGACCAAATCGCTATACAACTAGCCCAAACTGCCCAATTTAATTTGGTCCGGCCCGATTATTCGGTTTACCGAATTTTTTGAACACCCCTAATAATCACTTGAGCCACTAATACCAAGGACCCTCATCTCCAAAATTCAACACATTTTCTTTTTTTGCAATGTGAGCTCAGCAACACATATATATCTATATGTATATATCTATCTATTTATATCTACATTTTATTCTAAAATTAATATTTTTTATTATAAAAATGTAAGGAATTTTTTGATTTCCAAACATTTTTTTACATTTATTAAAATTAAGTTTTTGCTTTGATTTAAAATGCACTATTTTTTTTCTAATACAATTATTATTTCAATAGCTATTAATTACATTTTTTTTATCATATTAATTGCCATTCAATTGTTATTAATTTCAATTCTACATTCGTGCCTTTTTCTTTTCACTGTTTTAACTGAAAAATAAAATCAAGTTTTTGCTTTGATTTAAAGTGTACTATTTTTTTCTATTACAATTATTATTTCAATAGCTATTAATTACATTTTTTTTTTCTTCATATTAATTGCAATTCAATTGTTATTAATTTCAATTCTACATTCGTGCCTTTTTCTTTTCACCGTTTTAACTGAAAAATGATAATATACTATTTTTTTTTATCTTCCTTCTATTCACATCTTTTGTTCTCCCTCAATAAATCTTGGCGTATATATCTTTTTAGTTACACACACACATATATGCATTTATGTATATATTTAATTCACATATTCTAATAGTCTTTTGACTCTTTTTGTTTAAATAAGGTCCAATAAGTCATTGATGATTTTTTGACTGATCTCCAACCAGATATTCTCTTATTCGAAACAAAGGTAATAAATATTTTTAGATATATTTAGTTCAAGATCTTCTTATGTCCCGTTGAGTTATTTAGTTCTCTTGCTCATTCATCTTTGCAATTTTTTAAAAATATTTGTAGTTAACTTATAGGTATATTTATTTTCATATTCTTATTGTTTTTTGGTTTTGAAGAATTTCATTCACTTCTAGTTCATGAAATTCAAATATTTTTCATGAATCAAAGGTAATTTTAAGAATTCAAGTTGCTTGATGATAGTAATTGTTCATGTTTCTTTCAATGACTAGTTAATGTGATGGTGGAAGTATTCATTTAGAAAATTGATTATTTCATTGAATAGTTGTAGTGAATTGATAGACATACTATTTGAATTGGTCAATTATGTAATAAATAATAAAATAGAGCCCCCGCATGATTGTATTTGGTATAAATAGTCAAATTTTTTTATTTATTAAAATAGGCAATTCACTACAAGTGTTCGGTATCAGTATCACTACTTATTGATTTGTTGGATATCTAATTAATTTCCAAACATAATAAGTGTATTGGATATCTAATTAATTTGTAAACATAATAAGTGTACAATAAACTTACCTTAATTACGATTTATTACACTTAATTTAATCTATCTAGGATAATTACACTTACCATATGTAACAAACTGACCTAGGTAATTTATTTAACGGTAAGAGATGGCGGACGTGGCAAATTTTAAAATTGAATGGTATATTTATCACACGAAAGTAAAATTCTTGTCACATAAGAGTTGAATGTCACATAAGAGTAGTTGAATGTCATAGTAAATTGAAGGGCTATAAAAAATTTGTTTTCATAGTAAATTGAAGGGCGTATTTACCACACAAAGCTAAAATACTTACAACATAAGAGTTGAACATCTGTGATAGTTAATAGAGTTGACAATATAAATTAATTTATTATATAAATGTAACGAAGTGTAATAAATCTTAACTAAAAAAGAAATGAGTGTAATTTACCCAATTTGTTATTTAATGTGTCTTGTGCCGTAGTGTTGATATGCCCAAAAAAAAAAAAAAAAAAAAAAAAATTCCTGATTGCAAAGGTATAAATGAAAATTTGAGCCAAAGTTTGATATCTAATTTAGCAAAATATAAATGGATGATTTAATAATTTAACATTTAAAAAAAAAATTCAAAAGTAGAATTTATTAATAGTTATTGGGTGAGAGCGGTCTTTTGTCCGTTGAGCTAGGTGTGCACGGCTCTTATATGCCTAAAATGATGTAATCAAATATTTTGGTCCAAGAGATCTCATGCGTCCATTCGATGATTTGATTAGTTAATAATGTAATGCCACGAAAATGACGACTTTTTCCGAGCCTGGGCGCTCCGATAAATTCGGACTTTGATATTGCGTGATATAGTGTTTGATGCATAATAAAAAGGTGCATCGCGACTCACTAAATTGGGCTTTTTGGTCTGTAATGTATGCATAAATAACATAACATCAACGAAGGCGAAGTGGACGCTAGAGGAGGAGGGTGGTTCCGGACCTCTGTTTTTTTTATCTTCACATCCATTTCCTTCCTTCTCCACACGATCCATTTCCTTCTATCTCTAAACCCACACTCTCTCTCTAAAACATCTCTCTATATGCACACACATATAATCATTCTCTCTCAAGAATTGCTTCTTCCATCGATCAACCATGTCTCTGCAGTCATTGCCTCTCACTCCTCAGCATCTCTGCTCCAATGGCCGGTCTTCGAGACCGAGTTCAATTTTCGCGTCGAACAGAGATTCTCTCTTCGTCGATTTTGTTGGTCTTTACTGTAAATCGAAGCGAACTCGACGAAGAATTGGAGTTTCAAATGGTGTTCGGAGTTTAGCGACCAAGAACTGTTCCACTGTCAAAGCTGTTGTTGATTTTGAACGCGTCGCCAATGCCCCTGGAAAATCTTTCGGTTCAAAACCTAAGGTATGGCTTTTCTTGAATTGAGTAACAACTACATTTACAACTGCTACAAGTGTAAATTTTTGTTGGAAGTGTTAGACAGTTGAGTTCTTGATTACGGTGAATTTTTTTTTTTACATTTTAATTTTTTTTAATAATCTGTTATCAATTCTGAAGCAGAGTCTGAATCACGTTGCTCTATGAATTTTTTGTACTAAGATTTACAGATTATGTAACTTTGACAATTTATTTGGAATTTAGCATACGAAAATTGAATGTTTCCGGTCGCAGTTGATGGGAGTATAATTGGACATTGGTTGCCCATCGGATATACTGATATATCAAACTATAAATGCTTTATGGACTGGATTTTGATGGGAACTGGTAATCAAATTTGCATTTGAGAGACATTTTCACAAGTTTTTGGCGAGTTGTCTTTTAGTCCCCACACGGCGACCTATGCGCAGAACAGGATGTTTAAATCATTGTAGCCTTACTAGCAGTTTACTAGTTTCACTTTGTTTTACATTTACATATTTCTGACAGACTGCTAATTTATTTGTGAAGCCTGTATTTATGTAGGGCATTTTTGGTTACTGAAACTAGGTTTGCTGTACTTTTTTTATAAATCATTAGTTTCTGTGAAAAAATTTACGTCTCTTGATTCGTAGTTCTTTACAAGTTTCAATCTGTCTTCATGATATGATTTTTATGCTTTTCAGGTTGCAAACTTGAATGATATAATATCAGAAAGGGGGGCTTGTGGAGTTGGATTTATAGCCAATTTGGAAAATAAAGCATCACATGACATTGTTAAGGATGCACTTACAGCTCTCGGTTGCATGGAACATCGTGGAGGATGCGGAGCAGATAACGACTCTGGTGATGGTTCGGGATTGATGACTTCAATTCCATGGGATCTTTTTAACAATTGGGCTGAAAAGCAGGGGATTGCTTCTTTCGATAAGTTGCAAACTGGTGTTGGAATGGTTTTCCTTCCCAAAGACGATGATCTTATGAAAGAAGCCAAAACATGTGAGTCTTTAAGAGCTTTGAATTGCTCCTAATCTTGTAAATATTCTTCCTTGTGATTTTGCAAGTATTAGGAAGCATACAAGTCCTTTAATGGTTATCCATGCACGATCAATATGATGTTGATATAATATTACTAGTAAGGTGCTGTTTTTAAAATTGAAAATTTCTAAGAGCTAAATTTTAAGTGCTCAAATTGTAAGTGCTATTTATGAATTGAGAATTATTTACTTATTTATTTTTTTATTTTTTTATTTATGAAATGTTCAGGGATAAGGGAAGTTGCAATCACTTAAAATTTTACGGCACTTATTCTTTTAAGTGGTACATGTATTGTTTTATTATACACACTTGATTGCTCTGTTACATGGACCCAGGTATTATGCGTCGGTTGTGGGTATCTAACCAAACGTTGGATTTGTCAAATACTTAAACAAAAGGACACAGAGAAATTTGCAAATTGCTAAATACTTGTATCATTTAATATTTCTATTTTATTTTAAGAGTGAAATAATGTCTTTATGTAAAATACTTATATCATTCATTTCTTTTAGGGTCCGTTTGGTTAGATGGAAATCAATGCTGGAAAGTGAAAGTGAAGGAAAAGAAAATAAATTTTCTAGTATTCATTTGGTTAGCATGAATTTTTTCAAGAAACTTGTGAGAAAATCTCATTTCATAGGTAATAGAAAATATTATGATTTACCTAAATTGTCCATTTTTTTTTTTATTTTTTATTATTAAATATGACAATAGGTGTAAATAAATTTATATTTAATAGATATTTTAATTTTTTTAAAAAGTAAAAGTAATATAAGAATCTAAATTATAATTTTTGTAAAGATATGTAGTGAGAGATAACTATTATAATATTCTTATAAAAAATCATGCATTAACACAATTTATATTAGAAAGTGAAAAGGGGGGTATAATTTGGATTTCATATAGTTTTCTCAACAAAGCAAAAATTTATTATGTTTTTTGTAGGAAAATTTTGTGGGAAAGTTGGGTGGTTATGGAAAGTTACTTTCCCACAAAATTTTCCTCTTCTTGCTAACCAAACTCTGAAAAAAATTAAATTTTTTTCCTTTCTTGCTATTTCCATCTAACCATCAAACCAAACTAAGCCTTAAGCAATAATATAGTAAAATTGAATTACTGAACTTTTTTTAGGTGCATGTCCAACCAAAAGTGTCGGACTCTATCTCATATTGATGTCCAAGTTTCGTGTGCCCGATATGGGTTATGTGACATAGTCTGATTGAATAAACACTTAATTTATACAGAATTTAGCATGAATTGAGCTATAAAACAGCACATGAGATATGATTTGAGAGGATTCAATTACTATGATTAGTGCATGTGCATCAAAGTATGAGTGTATGCAGACATTATTTGCCAATATTGGGGAGATATGGATCCAAGCGAAAGTAAAGGAAGAAAATATTGTTTAATAAGGTGAAATGGCTATTGGCTAAATATAATGGATGTTAGATGATAGTTGACACAGAAATGCCCATGTTGTTATGACATATTTGTACTGGCAGTTACTAACTCTTAGAATTTGCATTGAATATGATATTACAATAGCAAAAGACATACTTTAGAAAAAGAGGTACTGACGGTTAAAAAATATTAAATAAATTCACTTTACAAGTAACTTTCTCCTTAGATAGGTGCGTGGGTTGGGTAAGATGCAAAAGATGTGAAATTGAATAAAGTGATACTAATATGTGCATTAATAAATGAAAATAGTAAGGCAAATAAACATCTATAAGTGGGATCATTGAATAAAAGAAGAAAATATATTGATAATGGTGGAAAATAAGATTGAGGTCAAGAATGCAACATTATGTGGGATAAAAGGTTGGTGCGCTGGGAGCAAGTGTGTTACTCGATTCGGAATGGAGGCTTAGGGATTAGGAGGTTGTTGCCTTTTAATAAGGCTCTCCTTGGGAAATGGCTTTGGAGGTTGGGGGTGGAGAGGCATTGGCTTTGGAGGAGGGTTATTGTGATCAAATTTGGGGAGAGTTGTGGAGGGTGGAGCTCTCTTGAGGTTCGTGGTCCTAGAAGGGTGGGGGTTTGGACTTTTATTCGGAAAGGGTGGAATGATTTCAGCAAGCATGTTCGTTTTCGGATCAGGGATGGTAGGAGAATCAGATTTTGGACGGAATGTTGGTGTGGGGAGCTTCCTCTTGCTCTCGCTTTCCTAAGGCTCTACAGGATTGCTCCCCATAGGCAGGCCTTCGTGGTTGACTGTTATCATCTTGATAATCTTGGGATCAGTTTAGGAGGCATTTTCAGGATCGGGAGATTAAGGAGGTTACTCGCTTTTTGGAGTTATTGTATCGCCAGGTGATTTTAGCTGGGGAGTCTGATTGTTGGCTCTGGGGTCCTAGCTCTCAGGGTCGCTTCGAGGTTCGGTCCTTTTTCAGGTGTCTTACGGTTGGTTCTAGTGGTTCTTTCCCTTGGAAGTCTATTTGACGTTCTAAGGCTCCTCTCAAGGTGGCCTTCTTTGTTTGGACTTCTGTCCTGGGTAGGATTTTAACCCAGGATAATTTGAGGAGGAGGAATCAGGTGGTGGTTAATCGTTGCTATTTGTGTTTGCATGATGAGGAGACAGTCGATCACCTTCTGTTACATTGTAGTATGGCCAGGGACTGTTGGGATTTGATGCTTGGCTTGTTTGGGATCCCTTGGGTCATGCCTTGTTCATCCAGAGGGCTAATTGAGGTTTGGAGAGGTTTTTCAGTGGGGGCCCTCATTCAGGATGCTTGGAGGGCTACGCCTCTTTGTATTTGGTGGTGCATTTGGCTTGAGCGGAATCGAAGATTTTTTGATGGAAAGGAGAAGCCAATTTTTTGAAGGCTTGGGGCTTTTTTTGGCCTTTGTGTCTCTTTGGGATCCGCTCCCCTTTTGAGCGCTTTTTTATAAAATTTTTACTTATCAATAAAAAAATAAAAAAGTTCTCTATTATTTCCACTCTTTTTTGTTGGGTTTTTGGGAGAGATTATAGATCTATTGAGGAGATCGTTGTTTTTTTGGCCTCTTTGAAAGCTTGAGGCGTTTTTTGGCCTTGTGTTTTCCTTTGGGTTCCGCTCCCCCTTGGAGCGTCTTTCAATAAATTTTCCTTATCAAAAAAAAAAAAAAAGAGGCCTGTAGATAAATTATGGGGATTGGTCATTAGCTGTATAAAACTGGTAGTGGAATGAGGGATTTTTGATTAGTGGTTAATGCAGAAAGATTATGTTATAAGGTTTGACATATTTGTAGAGATGATGAAAGACCTAACAGATGCAAGTTTGCTAAAGAAGAAGTTAGGAGGGTTATAACTGACACTGAATTTGTTATGTACAAGGATTAAATGACTGAAATATTTATGCACATCTGTAAGTTCAAGGAAATGAAGTAAGGACTTGGATCAAGAGAAGAGTTATTTTTAATACAACCATGTTTGATTCTTAATGTAGGAAAAAGTTCCCACTCTACAACTGTTAGAAGCCATTGATCTTTGTTTTTCTTTTTTCTCATTGAATGATGTCTTATCCTTCTTTTATTTCTTATTCTCTTCAATAAAACTCAATCATCTTCTTTAAGGGAAGTTAATAAGATCAGCTATAGAAGCTATTTATTTATTTAAATTTAAAACACTTGTATAACAGGCAGAAAACTTCGGTGACCGATAACTGCATTACAAACATCATGACACATGGGTGATATGTCATTATTGAAAAATTAATATTCCTTTTCCACAAAGTTGCCGTGATAAGTTGGCCCTTCTTTAGGGGTTGTTACCTATTTTTCTGGTAAAAAGCTCCATACTTGCTATGTCTTCTTAGGAGACCAACAGTTCACAAAATGAAGAAATAATTTAAAAAAAGGAAAGCAGCTTCTTATGAAAATAGGTCACCAAAAGCTTACCATTAAGAGCAAGGATTACTAGGGGAAGGAAGATTTAATGCAGGGACCAGCAATGATAATGATAGGTTATCTCTTGGCTAATGAATCTACCTGCTTGATGCTTCGTCTGACCAGTCGTCCACCTTATCTTGGTACAGCAGATTGTTGTTTTGCTATACAGTATCTGAGGCTCGTGCAAGAAATTTTATCTTGTTTTTCATTTTTCAGAAGTCATCCTTTACAAGTAAAGAAGACATCAATGCCAAGATCTCCTAACTATTTTAACCACAGATACAATCAACCTAAAATCACAATTTAACTGCATAATGTTTAGTTGATTTCACAAAGAACAATGCTGAACATATTGGTTCGATAAAACAGCTTAAGATTTATCGATGAGAATAATGGGAAGACTACCTCTACCTCTAAGAGTCAGCGTCTATCATTTGTAACCTTAGAAGGAGTCCCAAGAATGTATATATTGTATCACCCACTATAGAATAGTTGTTCACTTGGTCTGGTAGTTTATATTAAATTTTGGCTGTGTCTTAAATTTAAAGAAGAATTGGTTCTGTTTTATACAATAAATTCAATTTTTAGTTTCAGTTTCTAACAAGATTACTTCTAAATATTATTTTCAATCCTGGAGCATAGCAATTCATTAACAGCATATGAAATGTAAACATGAATTTAACAATATAAGCTATACAAGATAGATATGCTTTGACTATAACGTAATATGTACAGTAATAGAGAAAAAAAGTTTATAGAAGGAAAGTTGTTATTTGGACTTCATCAATAATATCAACTACGATGCTTTTATATGCTATGGTCAATTAGTACCTGAAATATGGTTTAATAAGATTCATTACTTCATTTTCTGCTTTCTTACTTTCTCCTTTTCATGTAAATTTTCCTTTATTTGTTCTTTTGTTATATCGTACTCTCTCGGTCCCAAAATAAGTGTCCACATTTCCATTTTTATCCGTCCCAAAATAAGTTTCCCATTTGAAAAGTCAATGTACTATTTTTTGTAATATTACCAAAACCTTCTTGCATTGAACTTATAAAAGTAAACAATCACATCACTGTGGACCCACTAGGGGTAAATTTAGTAATTCATTCACTACTAATACAATAAATCAATAATAAAAATCATTCTCTCAAAAGTTAGATTCCCAAAAAGGGACACTTATTTTGGGACGGAGGGAGTATGTTACGTATATTTGTTGGCATATTTGCAAATGCATGCACGACCATGGATTCTTATCATGAACTTTAGTTTTCGTTCTCGACATGCAATATATTGCGTACTCCATTAGTTTTTGTACTTACTAATACTGTTGTAGCAAGCCCTAAAACGTCATTCACATGTAATCTGCTTTCTGAATGTGGATTTGATTGTATTTTGTAGTTATTATCAATACATTTAGACAAGAGGGTCTTGAGGTGCTTGGATGGAGGCCTGTTCCTGTAGATACTTCTATAGTTGGATACTATGCCAGAGAAACCATGCCCAATATACAGCAGGTGTTTGTTAAAGTTGCCAAAGAAGAAAATGTTGATGATATTGAAAGGGTACTGTACATTTGCCGGAAATTGATTGAAAGAGCAGCCAACTCAGAAACTTGGGGAAATGAACTTTATTTCTGTTCTCTGTCCAACCAAACAATAGTTTACAAAGGAATGCTTCGGTCAGAAGTTCTCGCAAGATTTTTTTCTGACTTGCAAAGTGATCTTTATAAATCTTCTTTCGCCATTTACCATCGGAGGTATAGCACAAATACTAGTCCGAGATGGCCTCTTGCTCAACCAATGAGGTTACTTGGTCACAATGGAGAGATCAATACCATACAGGTCACAATCTCTTAATTCATTTTCTGTATCTTGCATATCATAACTGCGTTACTTATTAGTAGTATATTGACGTTGAAGTATTTATGCAGGGTAACTTGAACTGGATGCAATCTCGAGAATCCTCAATGAAGTCTCCTGTTTGGCATGGTCGTGAAAACGAAATTCGTCCTTATGGCAACCCGAAGGCATCTGACTCAGCGAATCTTGATAGTGCAGCAGAAGTATGATTTAGCACTTTTATTCACATAATATGCGTAATTTCTGCTGGCAACGATTCTTAGGGTTGCTTCAAATTAAATGACTCACTAAGAAGACATGAGAAAACAAAAAACAAGAAAAAATGAAACTAAACTGCATTTGGAATATAGTTACATTGTCTACTTGGAAGTTTCCTTTGCTTTTCAGTTGTGTTGACTAGTATCAATTTTAATGTACAGAAATAATTTCTAAAAGAGAAATAACCTGATTTTACTTACCGGAGGAAAATCCCTTCTTTTACTTCTCTTTTTTTAAATGTAATACAAACATGAAAATGTATTAAAATGATTTACTTGCTTCTGTTTGGATGCTCTTAGCAGACTTAACTTCTTGACTTAAATAAGGTGACACATTGTTCTTTTGGCAGTGCTTTGGTAGTGGTGTTAAGAAGAACTTGGAAGATAAACAATAAAGGAAGGAAACTGAATTGTATTTGGAATATATTACATTGCCTTGCTGGAGGTTTTCTCTGCTTTCAAATGTATTCTCTAATATCAAGTTTGAAAATGAGAGAATGCTAACTGCTTTTACTTGTAACTGTTTGGATGCTTGGTACCTCTGAAAGTTATATATTTTTACAAGATTGGGTCTAATAATCTGTTTTTAAGTCGTTATAGGTCGATATAAATTCACAGGGTTGATTTATAAGCACTTAAAAAGTCAGCTAGCTTCTTGGTCTGAGAGGTTTAAGCTGAAGTGATCTGCTTTCCCCTTTCCCTTGTATCATGGTAATGGAGGCTTTTAGTGGGTTGTTGGCTCGAGCATTTGAAATCAGATTGCTAGTAGTTTCTTGGGTTGAGCTCTGAGGTGTTTTCCTTTGTTGATATTTCACCTTTTTTGTGCTGATGATACCACTACATTTTGTGGGGCTGAGCAAGATCAGTTGCTGTTCCTTTGATATGTCCTTTTTATTCTTTGAGGTGGTGTCTTGGTTGAGAGTTAATCTGGGTAAAAATGTGGCGATCATGTTTTGTTGGCTGGGTGAGATAAGTTGTGGTTCTTTGATGTGTCCTTTATATCTTTTGGGTGGTGAGGGGAGGGATATACGAGTTAAAAGTAACATTTTGAGGATTGGATGATTGTTTGTAGTTCTTTTAAATGAGGGAGTTTTTAGTGTGCTAAAGTTAAGGGTATCAATTATGCCTTATTGGGAAGGTGGTTATAGAAGTTTTCCTTAGACAGGGATAAGATATTCATTGCAACGGGACACCATGTAATTTTGCTGAAATTTTGTCACATACAAATTAAATCTTGCCATACAAATACATGCTGATTGCTGACCCACTCACTCAGACACTCTCTAGTTTCTCTCAACATGTTCTCAAAAGGGGCAGTGGTTTGGGAAATGCCAGTATGACATAGAGTTCCTGTCAAGGGTGGAAAGGCAATTGAGAATGGCAAGCCATGGAATGAATCTATGACGAGGAATGGAAATTGAGTTCTTCGTTTGAAGCACTAGCTCATTTTTTATTTTTTTTTGCAGTTTCTTGCAACATCAGAAAGTCACTTGGGTTTTTGCAGATTGCTTCTAATTCTGAAACTTTCTTTTTTGTTCGTGTCTCTATAAAATTGATCCGCTTTAAGAGGTAGAGCTACAAATATAATTATAATGAAATTAGAAGGAGCATTATAGATTTTGTGAAAATTATTGCCTCAGAGAATTCCTAGTGATTGTTTCGTTCTTGTTTATAAATTATCCATGAGGAAGGCTAGAGAGGGAAGGACTCTATGGAGTGTTTTGTTGCTAGAAATGTCAAGTTATGCCATAATTTTGTAAGACGGTTTTTTTGGCCAATTAGTTTAATGGTCTAAAATGTTAGGTGTTTAATAGAAGATATGGTTACAGATATAAGGATATTAAGATGGATCAATGGAAATACAAATGGGTGAATGTATTGGTGTGTTTTTATGGCAACAATTGAGGGAAAGTAATGGAAAATCATTAAAGATGGCCCCTTTTGATGCAACCAAGGTCAATAAGGGTTTTGGTATTGGGGAATCTTTTTATGCAATATAGCAGTAGGACTAGAGGGCTGAAAGAAAGTAGTTGTCGTGGTGAGAAAAGGCATGTTTTATAAGGTTTTTACTAGGGCATGGCTTTACATGGAGCAAAGATGATGACACAGAAGAATTCATGTAGTTGACTTTAAGTAGTCGTGATTAATACTTTCTTTGGTTTAGTTGAGTTATTGACAGTGTGTAGGTCCATGTTGAATTATTATTTGCATATTGACATGAAGTTGACTGATTTAGGGTACTCTGATATTGTTTGGATGCATAAGCTGTATACAAAATTTCTATTTTTGTTCTCCTCTGTTGGTATCTTTGGAAAATGGATGGTCCATCTCATTTATTATATTTATCTTTTTCATTCCTTTTGTTAGTTGTTGAGGTTTCTTTCTTTTTGTTCTGTTCAGTTTTTACTAAGAAGTGGCCGTAGTCCCGAGGAAGCTCTGATGATTCTTGTTCCAGAAGCATACAAGAATCATCCCACTTTGTCGATAAAATATCCTGAGGTAGTTCATGCTGGCCATTTTATAATTCTAAAGCATTAATTAATATGCTTTTGGTAAAGGTCTTCTGTTTCAGTTTTCTTTCTCATCACTTAAACTTGATGTTTCTTTTAAGTGTTTGATTGTTAAATTTGTATGATGTGTTTGGCCTTAGGTATTTTCCAGTGTTACCAATACACTGAATTTGATTCCTGTCACCTTACACAATTTTAGTTGATATTCCTTTCGGATAATACTCGTTATTTACCTCTCCTTAGGTTGCTGATTTTTACGACTATTACAAGGGTCAAATGGAGGCTTGGGATGGACCTGCCTTGCTCTTATTCAGGTAATGCTTCCAAAGGAAATTAGTGTCATTTAATATACAAGCAGCTGCTATCTTAATGGACTACATGTCTAAAAATAATGAAAAATTTAAACTTATAAAAGTGAATCATTTTAACTTGTGGTAGTCAATCATTTTAACTAGCGAAAGTATGGCCATGTGTTGCTGGCATCCTGATGTAGTTTCTCATCATGACTAAGTTTGTTTGGAATAGGTGCATTTCTTGTCTGCTTCACACAGCAGGTTCTTGCTGTAAGTAATAAGCCTCTATAAAACAAAAAGCACATAGCAGACCCAATATTAGTCCATCCGGTCTCTTCCATGTGCTTGTTGTCCATTTTATAAATTATTCCATTGTTCTCAAATTTATATAATGATTATTTTAAGGTCAGCATCGTTTGTCTGAACTGGATGGAACAAGATGGAACAAGTGTTGCCAAGATCTAATGAGCTTCTTTTTACAAAATCAACATAAACAATAGATGGTCTGCTGCAGTTTTCTGTACGAGTCCCTCACGTGTTTTTCCATATATATATTTTATTAGGACAGGATAATTTCTGCATGTTAAACTAAATCTTCTGATGCGCCTATAATATGTTTCATCGGATACAAGGATACCCAATCCGTCCAACTAGGGAATGAGTTTTCATCTAATCTGCATAATTTGTAAGAATTTGCCAGTCTAACCAAGTCAACTGCATTTTTGACCCAGAGTTTTTTTGGGTGTATCTAATACAAAAAGATAAAAAAACAAAAAAGCAACTATGAAAAAAAAAAAAAATAAATAAAAAAAGAACAGAAAAAATGAAAAAGAATTTGTAACAACCCTCACCCTATCTAGACAAAATATTGTTGTTTTTGGCTCCCCCGGACCATAGACTTTTCTCGGGGTCACCCATCCTGAACTACTCCAGGTTAAGCACGCTTAACTCCGGAGTTCTGATAGGTTCACGGTCATTACGGCTTTAAAACGCATTGTGTCATAGAAGGGTGTAGAACCTACATATAGCACTTCACCTTTCCCAGCTGATATGGGATCATGACACCCTGTAGCCTGCCAGTGCTCTGCAACATCACACCTCACAATCACCCCCCCCATGGGGTCCAACGTCCTCGTTGGCCACATTTCCAGCTAAGTTCTGGCTCTGATACCATTTGTAACAACTCTCATCCTATTCAGACACAATATTGTCCTCTTTTGGCTCTCTCGGATCAGAGACTTCCCAGGGAGTCACCCATCCTGGTACTAGTTCAGGTTAAGCACGCTTAACTCTGGAGTTTTGACAAGTTCAAGGCTTTAAAACGCGTTGTGTCATAGAAGGGCATAGAACCTTCATATAGCATTTCACCTTTCCCAGGCGATGTGGGATCATGATACCGCCAGTGCTCGCCCACATCACACCCGTCCACAGAGGTTGTCACAGAATGAGTCAAATCCACCTTGGTAATATGGAGACTCTCCCATTGTACCATTAGATCACGATTGTTCTCCTTGATCTTTGATGATCTATACTATTATTTGACCAGGTTTTGGGGTTCCAGACCTCGATTCCGTTATGTAGGGTGAAGGTGCTGTAGTGAACGCTGGTGGTTAGTACAATAGTATAGTAGGATGTGCCTTGTTAGAATAATTACATTATTAATTTCACAATTGCATATACATAGGTCTATACACAGCTGCTCTGTATCATACAACTTTCTTTGAACTTTACTTTCTCGCTTTCTCGTTCTTACTTCAGGTCTCACTCCTGCTTAGGTAACCTACTTTGGTGTACTGGAAGTTTACTTATACGATAAATATCCCTTTTCTGTTATAACTTACAAGCACAACCATATGTAACATTAAGCACTGAAACTATGATTAGTCAGCATTAATTTTTAATGTTCTGCTTGAATCAGATTATGTAGATTTATCAGAAGTGTTAATGTATAGAATTAAGGTTTCAACTACATGTTAAGTATATTAGACCATATTGGAGAATTAGCTTCATATTTGAACATTATACAACTACATGTTAAGTGACTATAAAAATTAGCAGTTTTTTAACTGAATGAGGTTTGTCTGGAAATACTTTCAGTTTTTCATGTTGCTATCGTAGAATTTAATTTATAGAAAATGAAACCAAGAACAGAATCTTTGACTGATTGATCACTGTGTTGCTATATATTGTTTTATTAACCTAAAAATTAAATATTGACCGATACCATTTCATGTTGACAATTAGTATCTTTATCAGTTTTTTTTTGCAAAAGTATTCTTACAAGTTGCTACAGCGAGCTGTATTGTTGATATATTGGAAGCCCTATTATTAAAGGTAGTAAGAAATTTCACAGTTATTGAAAGGAACCCTTGCAAATTTGTTTTGGTATGGTGGTCAAATGTTTGAGGAAATGTTCAATCATCCCATACCCATTTGGCTTATCGTCTATGGAAGGCTAAGCTACCTCCTAAAGCCATAGATCTGGTTTGATATGTGGCTGATAAGAAGTTTAAACCAATGAGTTGCCTTAGGAGAGGAGACCCTATAAAGCCCTTAGTCCTGTCTTTACTTTATGTAGAAGGGATAACGTGACCTATAACAATTGCGTTATCCGCGGTTTCTCTCTTGTTCTCTTTGACTTAAAAGTTTTAGATATTTCATCATCATCATCCTTGCCTTTATCCTGAATAAACGGGGTCAGCCGCATGGATTCTCTTTGTCCACTCTTTTCTATCATAAGCCATATCTTCTACTAGGTTCAATCTTTTAAAATCATTTCTTAACAGGTATTTGATGCTTACTACAAACCTCTTTAAGGGGCCTTGGTAAGGCAGAGCCAAAACTGTATGGCATTGTGCAAACATGGCCATTATTTGGGTTATTTGGATTGAGAAGAAATGAATAATTTTTGAAGATAAGGGGTCTTTTGTTGAGGAGATTTGGAGCAAATTTCAATTTTTGGCTTCCTTTGGGCTTTTCAGTTATATAAGTTTTCAAAGATGTACCACCATCCTTGATCTTGAGAGACTAGAGTGCAGTGTGCCTCTAGTGTTTGCGTTGTACCCATGATTGGCCTCCTACTCCATGTTGAGAAACTGTGCTCAACTTTGATGGTTGCACCCTTGGTAATCAGTGGCAGTTGGAATCCAGGTTCGAGCTCTTTATAAGGCTTAGAAAGCCCTCTCCCTTGAACTACATCTGTTTTTGACTGAGGGAGATTCAGTGGAGATGGGTTAAATCTAGATCTCTTGACTGGTTGACCCATAGTGCTATAGACAACTTCTGAGAAAGAAATATATTTGTCTTCTGTAGGGGCAGTGATTAGATGTGTGACATGTCTCCAAGTGAACCAATGAGAAAGCTGATTCTTTGACTAAACCAATGGGAAATAGATTTGTCTTCTGTAGGGGCTTATTCTTTAGTTACTATGAGGGGCCATTTTCATCCTTGAAGTTCTGTAGCTCATTGGGGGTATTAGGTTTGTTTATCCTTTGCATATTTAGCTCAAGTCGTGGGCAATATTATGTTTCATCGTTCAGAAGAACGGCTCATCCTTCCTTTTTGTTGTTATTCCTTTTCTTCATCAATAAATGTTTTTTTAGTTTCTTATAGAAGTATGAGGAAGTGTAAATCGTGTCATTTCATGATAATCCAAACCTATGATCAGTTGACCATGTTTTAACTCACTTTGTTCCTCCCTTCACAATTACTACACTCAGTTATACTTATGGCTTCAAAAAATGGTGAAAGGTCTATATAGTAATATTGCCCAGAAATGATCAAAACAGAAGTATGACAGTCAAAAATATAAAGTTTGTTAACCCGAATTTAACCTTCGGGTTTTTCTTCCACATCAGATGGCCATTCTTTCTCTCTCTCTCTCTCTCTTTCTTTTTCTGTTTTTGTAAAAAATATCTTGAAGGTAGCTTTCAATTTTTTCTTTTTTTTGGGTGAACAAACTTCTAATGAGTTGTCACATTTTAGTTCTATTAATTTATACAATTAAAATTTTAAAATTGTTCTTCATTTTCCTCCAACGTGTCACAGTGACGGAAAAACTGTTGGAGCTACTCTTGATCGAAATGGACTTCGCCCTGCTAGATATTGGCGGACAATAGAGAATGTGGTCTACGTCGCATCTGAGGTGTGTTCTGTTTTCTTTATCACCTGAGAATTTCTTCTAAAATGGTATTCTATTGCCAGTGCTGGCAACTTGAGCATAATTGAGGCTTATGTTTTCATCCTGAGGCTTTGGCTTGACCTGGGCTTCTGAGGAGTCCTAGCAACTGAGCTTGAGTGCTGAATTTCTTGCATCTGTCATCTTAAGCGTGAACGGATTCATTTGATTTGGGTTATTAATAAAATGTATCATTTTATTAGACATCTGAGTGTCTTTGGTATTGTTTCTTACGATTATGCGGAAGTGGTGCCAAGTAGTCACTGAACAATACGTTCGCTGCAGCTAATAAATAAGAATTATATGTTTAGGACAGCTCTCGGAGTTTGACCAACCTCATGCTAGTTTAGTGGCTGTAAAAACCCACGCAATTACCCAGGCTCTGCTTAGAAAAATCAGTTCAGAGTGGCTTGTCTTCTTTATCTGTAAATTTGGCATCAGTGCTCCCATTAGTAGAAATTAATCACGCAGTATAGTATCCCTGTTAAAGATGTTGAAGTTTAGAGAACTAATACAGCGATGAAATAGGCACCTTTCTTATTGCAACTTGAAATCATTATAGTTGCCTTAATGAATCTAGAAGCTTGCAAAGTAGCAAATCACTCAGGCTTGATCTACTGGAAGCCAATGTATACATTAAATAATTTTGCCTCAAATGACTGGCCTTTTTTCCCCTGTTGCAAAAAGTTCACTTATGTGCATGTGCATGTGCAGGCTTATTTGAATAAGCACAACTAGGCAGTCTAATATTGTTGCAAACATCTAATTCTTTCTCAATTGCCACCCTGAGATTTGGTGTAATTATGGTGTTCTGGTAGCTCTGATCACATCTATAGTGTTCATCTTCTAAGTTACTTCCAAAGTGTAACACTCTGCCCCTCCTATCAGAAGTCGTGGTAGAATGTTGTCTTGTGCTTGCGAGAATGTTTTGGTTTTCACATTGGATGTAAGGAAAAGTTTTTTGCCTAATGATTACTTATGTGTTCTCTATATCTGCTGGACACACGCACATGCGTGCGCGCACACAAACACATGCATTTGACAAAATTAATTCTGCAGTATATATGAGAACTGTTTCTGGATTAAAAATTGAAAATGTATGAGTGCATTGAAATATGTTTTCTTGCAAAAGGATATGATCTAATATTTGTGCACTGTGTTCTGCACATGAATTGATTATTTTGGCAATCTTTCTCTGAACTTGTACTTTAAACAGAAGTTTTGCTAAATTTTGTGATTCTTTTTGAAATAACAAAATGTGATTCTGCAGATATTTTTTAGGAAGTGTAACTAAAAACTTTGCTATTCCTTCCCCTTCTTTTCCAGCCTGCAGATTTATCTGAGAACACCCATTTCTGGATATTTATTTTTTGTTACTTTGTGTTTCATTCTTTCTTTCCCCTCTCTTTCCCTTACAATCTACCCACACCAAAAATGACATTTTTCTTAAGGCTTTGCAGTTTTCCTCAAAAAAAAAAGCTCATCCTTGTGTGAAAGGAAAGTGAAAAGGAAAAAAAACTAATTTGTTGAAAGTTGTGGAGAACAATTAACAATCAACTATCTTATCTCTGTTTTGATTTGGTGAAGTGGTGATGTCCCCATATAGTGATAGAATTCTTGTCTATTGTTATGTAAAAGGCATATCAAATGTGCTGATTTATTACGCAAATCAAAACCACGACGAGGTTCCGGTTCTGTCAATTTCCTCAGAATTTGTCTGTTGACGGGGGATTCCACAAGGAGTTGGACTCCAATGGCTTCAATAGGACTCAGACAAATTGGGTTTGACAACCTTCTTGCAAATTTGTTATAAATCTTTGTTCTTATTTTGTACAAAAGTCAAATTTCTAACAATCTTAAAATTGATAATAGCCCAAATAAAAAAAGAAGCTGAAATATATGGATGAAAACTGAAGCTCTTCAGAAGTTTCTTTTGTATTACATGGACTTCCTTTCACTTTAATTTTCTAGATGATTTTTCCAGAAGCTAACGTGATAAAATACTGAAAACGTGGTAAATTTAACTAATAATTTTTTTCTTTTCTTTTCAGAGATTGCTGAAATGAGATAATTATACATGCGTAATATTATCTACTCATGTTTTATATTTTCATTGCATCTAAACTTGGCCTTGAAATTGTTCACCATGCACTTATAATGACTTTAAGACACTATCATGCCACAACTTACTTTTATACAGGTTGGTGTTCTACCAGTGGATGAGTCAAAGATTATTATGAAGGGCCGTCTGGGTCCAGGAATGATGATCACAGTTGACCTCCTGAATGGCCAGGTTTGTATTGTGTTTAATTTGATAACTGCTTGGTGCTTCAGTTATAAGATTGTTGGTGATGGGATTGTTTGTTGATGATTGTATATGCATGCACAAGGTAGATGGATTTTTGTCATTCTCCCTATTGTTGAATTGTCAAAATCCACTTTCCAATGTATTTTTTTTGTACTTTTTTAAAAACTCATGGGCAGGTTTCTCTTGAAAAAAATATTTTTACTAGAAATAAACATTATTGTTTGAAGGTTCTATGTGAATGGATATATATCAGACGTACAATGTTCTGTTTTCTTACTGTTGCTTGTATGTGATTTTGTTTTTGTTAGATACATCTAGGATTCCTTCTTAAAATATCATGGTTCGAGAATAAATTCTTTTAGTTTCTATTGGGAGAAAATATAGGGATTTGATACATATTGGGAGTATCTTTAGGGATTGGATTTGATCTTATCTTAATTTGATTTTATATGATATTCATCATGTGCCTATTAGAGGCATAGGATCAGTGATTTGATTTACTTTCCACTTATATAATATTCAGTCTCTAATGTAAATTAGGAGCATGGCTAATGATAATTTGTGGCTTACAAGAGCCTTTTACATTCAACTTGGTATCAGAGCCAACACCACGACACACACTCCACTGCTTGATCTCTACTTCATATTCTCTTGGTTCATCCTCTCCTCTTTTTGTGTTCTTTAAATTTTTCAGTCACCAACCACTAAACCACACCCAAGCAAACCAAACCCCTTCGGGGATATTTCTTCTTCCCTCCATTGCTTCATGTGGTAGAGGGGTCTCTCTCTAAACCAATGACCGACTCGGCCGTTATGTGCCGTTGACGAATTGTCCAGCCTCGTCCAGCTTCTTTTCATTCTCTGTCTACTTCTGCAAGGTTAGTACATGCTGTCCGGCCGAGTTTAACTCTTGCAGACAGAGTTGCTCATTTGGAAGACTTCTCCAGCTCTTGTGACTTGTAGACATCCGTATTTACAATCTGCGATTTGATTCTATATCATCACAATCTGAGAAATGGAATCTGTTCAGACTATGGATAATGCATCCTATGGGCATAGTTCCCAAGCCCAAAGGATTACTACAGTTTTATTAAATGGAAAAATTTTCCGTCTTGGTTGAGATCGGTGAGACTTTATTGAGGGAGTCGGTGTAAAACTGGATATTTATTGGTCTCTATTAAAAAATCAGCACCTGCTGAACCCACGGTTTCACAATGGGACATTGATAATTGTACGATTCTTGGGTGGTTATTCAATTCTATGGAGCAGTGTATTTATAATATGTTTATGTATCATGAAACTGTACACACCTTATGGACTGCTCTCACTAAGACTTATGCTCATGCTTGTAATGAAGCCCGGATCTATGAGTTGCATCGAGATATCTCACGAGCTACTGAAGACGATTGGAAGCTGCTAGTTGCAGATTACTTTACCTTCCTTCAGTCACATTAGGAGGAACTTGCTCACTATGAGCCCCTTGATGATATTTCAGCAGAGGCTGCAGGGATTATTAAGGCTAGACACGAGTGCATCAGATTTATCAGTTTCTTATGGGACTCCGTCCAGAATTTGAGGCCCTTCGTGCTCAAATTTTGAATACTACACCTGTACTCTCTCTTTTTTAGGCTTTTTCTATTATTAATGGGGATGATTGTCGATGTCAGGTTACACCTTCGATGGCTCTTGCTACACTGATCAGATGGCATTAGTTGCTTCTTCTATACCATCTGGTACTCGCAGCCGTGGCCGTGGCAGTGGCAGTAACCATGGACGGGGGAGTTCTACCATATGTGCACACTGTGGAAAAACTGGTCATGCTAAGGATAGGTGCTTCCAGCTCTACCCACACCTCAGATCTAGCAGTACTACAACTTCTTCTACTGCTGCTATTTTCGAGTCCTATGGTGCCCATGAGCCACTTGTTCCTCCGCCTGGATGTATTGATATGCATTAGTTGCATACACAAATTGGGTCTATTATCCGAGATAATTTATCAAGGCATCTCTCTCTTCAGCTACATCTGCTGCAGCTCACTTAGGTACCATCCCTTCAGCTACATCAACTGCAGCTCACTTAGGTACCCCATCTGCATTCCATGCCTCTCAATTTGGTATTGTTCCTCCAACTTGGGTCATAGATTCTGGTACTTCTGATCACATGACTAGTGAGTCTCGATTTTTTGGGGATATGGAAGCATCCTCCGGGCAGGTACACCTTGCTGATGATTCTTTTACATTGATCATTAGTAAGGGTACTGTCCCTTTATCTCCTGATTTATCTTTACAGTCTGTTCTTCTTACGCCTAACCTTTCTGATGTAGGACAAAGGACAGGTTTAAATAGAAGAAAGTAAATAAGAGTTATGGGCTGGAAATTCAGAAACAAAGCTAAGATTCAGGGGCTGTTAGTAGAAAAGAAGGATTGTAATTAACAAAGAAAAGCCTATTGGAATCACTCCAATAGGACCTAGGTATCACACCTAGAGAAGGCCTCACACCCTCAATGAATCACTCACAAAGAAATCTCAAAGGATAATTTTATCCAATCATTCGCTGCAAAAGTTGACTCTAACTTAATAAAGTAACAAATAACTTAATTGATGCAATTTAATCTAATTATGCAATTTATCTAAACAAGGTAATCAAAAGTTGACTCTAACGACTCTAACTTAATAAAGTAACGAATAACTTAATTGATGCAATTACCAAAATAATGAAATTTGACCAAACCCCCTAATTATGCAAGACTCCAAGTGGACCCCCCATCGTCTAGCATGTGCCAAATTAAGGTTTGAGCCTTAGAACCCTCCTTGCCACGCCTTCTATATACTTTAAAAGGCTGCTGCCACTGTTTTCTACCAATTCTCCCCGGCGAGGTAAATGCATGAAATTGTTCATAGAGGTCTGGAGCTAGGTGTTGGAACTTACTGTCACTTATCCATGTACAATCAGAAAGTGGCCGTCCTTTCCACTTAATGAGGAATTTTTGATAACCGCCAACTCTTGTTGAAACAAGTTGGTGATCAACATCTTCTATTTCCTCCTTTACACGTGGGGCTGGAGGAAGGTGAGTGATAGGATCAACAAGAAATGGATCAGCAAAATGGCCTGAATGCAAGGTGAGATCTTCGATGTTGAAGACTTTACTGATACCCATCTCTTCTGGTAGGTCAAGAACATAAGCATTGGAGCTAATTTTCTTGAGAACTTTGTATGGGCCAGCACTCTTTGCGTGAAGCTTCTTATAAGCACCTTTAGGATATCGTTCCAGTCTTATTCACACCATAACCATATCTCCTTCCTCAAATTCAGCAAACTTCCTCCGCAAATCAGCTTGTGTTTTGTAAGTTTCATTGCTCATTGCAATCTTCCTTCGAACCTCCGCATGGATGTCTCTCATATGCTTACTAAAAGCATCAGCTTCAGCACTAGGGCGTGCCACTATTGGTAAAGGCATTAAGTCAATTGGTTTCCGAGGACATAAACCTATCACAATCTCAAAGGGGCTGCGCCCTATGGATCTGTTTACCGAACTGTTGTAGGCAAATTCAGCCATAGGAAGAATCTGGGCCCAGCTACTAATATGGTCACCAACAAGACAACAAAGCAAATCACCGAAGCTGCGATTAATAACCTCAGTTTGGCCATCAGTTTGGGGGTGAAAAGAAGAGGAAAACTTCAGCCTTGTATGCAGCCTTGTATTCAGCCTTGTATGTGCGCCAAAAATAACTCATAAATTTGGTATCTCGATCAGAAACAATGGTGTTTGGCAATCCATGAAGCCGAACAACTTCTTGAAAGAAAAGCTTGGCAATGCGGGCAGCATCGGATGTCTTGGAACAAGGAATGAAGTGTGCCATTTTTGAAAAACGATCCACAACAACAAATATAGCATCACGACTTTGACTTGTTTTGGACAACCCAAGAACAAAGTCCATGCTTAAATCTTGCCACGGCTCATGAGGGACTGGGAGCGGCGTATATAAACCTGTATTTTTCTTTCTTCCCTTGGATATTTGACAAGTTCTGCAACGAGCAACGATTTTGGCCACATCCCGTTTCAAACTTGGCCAAAAAAAATGATCTTCCACCATGGCAATGGTCTTATCTCTTCCAAAATGACCTGCTGCCCCACCAGCACGCAACTCCCATATCACATGTTCACGAAGAGACGTCTTAGGCCTTTGAAGAGATAACCATCATGTACTGAATAATCAGGATATGTACCCTGCTGTCTAGCTATCAAATCAGCATGTTTGATGCTAAAGTCTGTGCAAGATAAGTAGTCTCGTTTAAGCATATCGAAACCAAGAACTTAAGCAGCCATGGAGGCAAGAATATGAACAACTCGGCTAAGTACATCGGCTGCCTTGTTCTCAACACCAGCTTTATGTTTGATGACGAATGAGTACTCCTGCAAGAATGAAATCCACTTCCCATGTCGGTGGCTTAACTTCCTTTGGGAGTTAATATATTTGAGGGCCTTGTGGTCAGAGTACAACACGAACTCCTTAAAAAGAAGGTAATGACGCTAGTAGCGAAGTGCTTGAATCACAGCGTAAAATTCTTTGTCATAAGTGGAATACCTTTGCTTTGCTTCATTAAGTTTCTCACTAAAATATGCAACCGGATGTCCTCCTTGATTGAGCATGCCTCCAATTCCAACCTGTGAAGCATCACATGCAACTTCAAACACTTTTGAGAAGTCTGGAAGGCGTAAAATAGGAGCTGCAATCATTCTTTTCTTCACTTCTTCGAAGGCCTGTGCTGCTGCCTTTGTCCAAACAAACTGGCTGTTCTTCATACAATTGGTGATAGGGGCCATTATTGTGCTGAAATTTCTAATAAATCGCTGATAGAATGAAGCTAGCCCATGAAAACTCCGTGCTTCCTGCAATGTGCTGGGAATTGGCCAATCTAGAATCGCTTTCACTTTATCTGGATCAGCTTCTACCCCTTTGGAAGAAACAACAAAGCCTAAGAA